CATTTTGAAACCACACGTCACTCACTCGTATTCGCCGTGGAGCAGCGTGACATCATCGCTTTCCATGATGCGCTGGGACTGTCTGCTTTTCTCTAGCTCCAGTTTGTGAGCTCTCCTCATTGCCACAATAGCTGTCGAGAAGCAGAACTTACTTTCAGTACTGCCTTGGTGGAATTATTCCTATCAGGCATAACTCTAATATAGCATTCTTACAACTAATTAATCAAATGTATTATTAATTAGTATTAAACACAACTTAGCAATAAAAATGTTTTGACAACAGTGCATTTATGTTCCATGTTTTCTTGCTTGCCTGCCATTGTCGCGGCTGTCTCCTCCTGCAGGAGCTGCTCTTTCTCCTTCAGAAGTTCAGCCACCTCCTTCTGATGCTGCTGCTGCAAGTCTTCTATCAGATCCCTGTGCATTTCCTCCACAGCAGTCAACTCCTGTTCACAGGAAGCCTATAATGATATTTAAAGGTAGTTGTTGTGCAATATGAGTGGCTCTGTGGTGTGACGGTTTTCACATTTGCCTAATAGGTTTAATTTTAGGAAGATACCCAAATCCATCGGGTGGTGTGTCAGCAGGGGGAGGTAGCTGCTGCGACGACCTTTGTGAATAAGAGAGCAGCCAAAAATAACTTTTGTGCTTGATATAGTCTATATACACTCAAAACGGCTTTCTTAAACATGACAATGAGTTAACTGTACTCAAATGGCCTCCACAATCGCCACATCTCAATCCAGCAGAGCACCTTTGTATCAAGTATTTATTTATTGTCATTGTCAAAGAACAATGAAATTGCATTTGGAGCTTCCGTACAACCCGTTAAAATAAATAAATAAATAAAATTATAGTGTACTATAAATTATAGTAAAAAACAATTTTCCACAAACTGCAGACAATTTTTTTGTTTCCTTGCCAGCTTTAGTCAGGCATTGGAAAAATCTCATTAAATACATTTTTTTTTTAAATCTACCAAGATACAAATTTTTATACCCTATAATTAGTTTGGGATTTGGTGAAGCAGGAGATTCGTGTCATGGATGTAAAGCCGACAAATCTGCAGGAAATGTGTGATGCTGTCACATCAATAGGGACTAAATTTACATCACTGTGAATCTGTGCCATGATATAAGGCAGGTCTGAAGGCTAAAGCATGCCCAACTCTGTACCAGCCTGGGGTACTAACTAAAGTGGCTGATTATTATATATGTAAAGTGTAGAGAAATCTACACCAGCAGCCATAACACTGAAACCAGCAACAGGTAAAATCAGTATCATTTATTTATTTAGAATTCAATGTTCTGCTGAGAAATCATGAATGCTGCGGTATATTCATTGACTAGCTGGGACCACATCCTCATTTAGATTTAACAGCATTTCTAATAGGTAATGGCAGATGGAGTAAGCATGAATTGAGGGGAAGGCAGAAGTCAGTGCTGATTTCCCAGGAGGAGGGAAACCAAAATCAAGCAGGTGGTTTTACAGTTGAGGCTGATTGAGTGATTGTATTTTTACTTTTAAGAATAGTGTTTGTTCCATAGTTACATTGTAGCCTTGCTAATTCTGATGTTACCCTAACTGATTTAAGGCTTCAACTAAGTAAAGTAATGAATAAAGTGATGAAAGTAGAATTTGAACTTGATAGAGAAAAATTAATCTGTAAAATGAATTTTAAAAATACATACTTTAAGACTAATTATCTCACGTGATGCAAAGTCTTGGTTACCTGAATGTTTTCCAAATCTTTCTTGTAATTCATTTGGATCCCAAAGTCCTCCTCTGTTTCCCGCTCCATCACACTCTGCTCTGGTAGACAAGATGTATTTGGGATGTAAAGAGGTGCCTCTGTGCAGGATTTGCTCTGTTTCTCTCTGGAAACACAGGACTTGGTGTAGTAGCCATGTAAGTGCTTCATCTCCTCTTCGTGGATCTGCTGCAGTTCCTTTATCTTCTCCTGAAACTCGCCTTCCAGTTTTTCCACTCGTTCTGCATGATAATCCTCAATCTTCTGTATGTCTTCTAGGAGTTTCTGGTTCCCGGTCTCTACTGATATTATCTTCTTTTCAGCCAGCTCCAGTTCTTTTCTCAGCGCGCCGTTGTCTTCTTGAAGCTGGCATATTGTGTCATTTAAGGCCTCCTGCTCCTCTATTCCATCGTTGCGCTGCTCTTCCAGTTTGTTCACGTCAATTTGAAACTCCTGCTTTAAATCCATGTACATCCGCTCTGACAAATAAATTAACTTTGCGTGGTCCAGCATACATTTTAAGTCAAAGGCAGCAGCTTCCTTCCCTCTATGCTCCATGTCATCACCACCGACAGGTCTGCTGTCACCAGAGTTTACCAGGCAGAGCTGGTGTAAAAATGTAGCCCTTCTCTGCAGCCGGGATATTAGCCTCTCTAACCAGTCTGGCTTTTTCTTTTCCTCCATTTTTTTGTTATCTGATTGGTCCTCTTCTTCTGGTTCTTCCAAGCCCCTGGCATCTTCCTGCAGTCTCTCCTCATAAGAAGCCAACTCCGAGGGACTGATATCTGCCAGACCCGTCATTCGGTCCTCAGCGTCTTTGCTGTTTACTGGAGTCACACCCTCGTACTGTTGATGAATTTTTAAGGCAGCATAAATTAGCTCCTCTTCAGCACAAACTGTACAGATTAAACTTTCTAAAAGTTCATCGCTGTCACACCCTGTTCTCTCAGATCGCATCCTTTCTTGTGCTTTTAACGCTATTCTTCGAGCGATTATGTTTTTGTACCTTTGTGCCACATCCCCCTCATCGTTTCTTGATATTGAGGTTATCTGACCATGTTGGCTCTGAAGGACAGACACAATTTTTTCTACTACGAATATTTCCCTCATTAAACACCTCTCAACACTTCCACCCTCATCCAAAGAGGACCAAGTATTAGTCGGTTTACTCATGTTACTCTTAGCCCCGGCTGATTTCTCTTCATTGAGGATCTTGCCCTCTCCTTTGCTGACATTATATGATTCATGCTGGTGTTTCACTGCATCTTTCTCTCCTTGCTGAAGACAGGCAGCGACCGTAGCCAGCTGTTTCTCCAAGTCTGGAATATCGAGGGGACTAGCATGAAGTCTCTCTCTGCAGGCCTGTATGATGTTCTGAGCCACCTGAAACCTGCCGACTAGCATCCTGCAGCGATTCTCTGTCTCTTGGGCAAAGCGCTGGCTCTTCTTGGCCTGATTGTGAAGAAGTAGACTGAGGTGCTGGGTAGTCGCTCGACTCTGGGTCAGCTGGGAGCAAAGCTGGGGGTCCCGGCAGCTGATGTGACTCTGGTGTTCCTCCAGCCTTTCTGTGATGTCTCTTAGCTTCTCCTCCGTTACATAAAGCTTGGTTTCAAGCAGCTGGATTACAGACATAAAGCGCTCTGGGTCATCTCCTGCAGTGATGAGGTATTGATATGATTCATCCAGTGATTGTGGGCCATTTTCTGCAGGTTCTTTAGAATTCATCAGGCTGACATCTGCGATATTGGACCTGTTAGACAACTGGT